TGTTTCTCTTTTCTTCAGTGATTCTGCTTGTTAACAGCAGCTGTTCATCACTAATGCTCAATCAGCACTTAATTAATCACATAATTATCTCAGTAACTTTAAAACTGCTTCAGTGTTATTTTAACGCTCTTGTAGAGTGGGACCATATATGCTTCGAGCAGTGTTCATTTAACACTCGGGAATTTACTGTGTAACAGTGGTTTTGTTTGTTGCCCTGTCACCCTCAGTTCAAACCCCTTAAAAAAAATACATAAATAAAATAAAAGAATGTACTTTTGAGTACATTGCCGAATGCATTTACAAAATACAGACCATTTTCTTTAAAAAAATATTATTATACTGCTTGAAGATCACATTATTACTTACAGTTTTTCTCTATTGCTTAAACACATTTCTTGAAATTATGCCTTTTTTTTTTTTTGTGAAACTCTAAACAGAAATCCATAACTTCTAACTCAATTCCCCGAACGTCCTATATTCAGGTCAAAATGAAGCTCTCCACTCAAAACAACTCAATCTTGCTGAAAAAGTAAACTTCAGACATGACACACAAACCCTCAAAAACACACACTACATCACAGTCCTACACAATAATACATAAAATCAAAAACACACACACTACAACACAGTCCTACACAATGATGAGATAAATTCAAAACAATACTACAAAAACCGGTAATAAGTTATTTTGCTTCTGATCCCCTAAGCGATATGACGTGACATGTGGCCAAGTATGGTGACCCATACTCGGAATTAGTGCTCTGCATTTGGCACCTCAGTCGTGGTATTGAAGGTGGGAGAGAGCGCTGTACATTCACTCCCCCCACCTACAATCCCTGCCGGTACGAGACTCGAACCCACAACCTTTTGGGTTACAAGTCCGACTCTCTAACCATTAGGCCACGACTTCCCCATCGATGGAAGCGATGGAAGCTGACGTTATTCCAAACAACAACGTAGCAAGGCTGCACTGGTTGTGCTGGCTCTCTCTGGTCAAGCTGGAACACACGCTCTCTTAGACCATCAAGGAGACCAAGGAGAGGCATAGTGTTATAAGGTCCAAGAATGGCATGGCGGTAGAGTACCCCTCGTTGGCTGATGGCCGCGCACATAGTGACGTTCCCTCCTCGTTGGCCAGGGACATTCACAATAGCCCCGATGGCCAATTATGTTCCTCCCCCTTCTCCTTCTTTTGGTTTGGTCAGGTTAAACCCAGCCTCATCAACAAAGATAATCTCATGGGGAGCAGGCCGGCTTTCAATCTCAAAGATTCTCTGCAAAACACATTAAACACAGCAGAGTATGACTACCCTGAAACACAGTTCAAGAGTGTACAAATGGCAGACCACCACATACTTATTTGTAGCTTACAGTTGTACTGTGACAATACACAATACTTCATACAATTTACAGTACAAACTCAAACCTGAACATATTCCAGAGGTTAGTCTTTGACTCTGTCAGAATTTCTTTCAAAAGGCACACGGTATGCCCCAAACAAAAACATTTCATGTTAAAAGGATGATTCACCCCAAAGATGTAAATTCTGTCGTCACTTTACTGATCTTCAAGTCATTTCAAAACAGTGTGACTTTCTTCTGTGGAACATGAAAGAAGATATTTTGAGAAATGTTTTTTTGTCCACACAATGGAAACAATAATACCACAACTTTGCTTGGCAACAACATTCAAAATATAATCTGTTGTGTTTCACGGAAGAAAGAAGGTCATATAGGTTAGGAACGACATGCAGGGAAGTAAATTATGACAATTTTCAGTTTTGGGTGAACGATTCCTTTAAGAAATGATAAATGATCAAATACAGTGATTATACTGAATGTGCTCAAGACAAATATATGTTTGTATTTACACTTATAGACCACTGAACAACAAAGTACATGAGTGTAAGCCAAAATTAAACATACAGATACATTTTAATCTGTTTGAAGAGTATTTATATCAGAGGGAACAGTATTCATAAATGCTAGTTTTTCCGCTCTCAGGTTTGCATCTCTCACTCTTAGATTCATCTTTGAGCAATTGATGTTATGTATTTATTCTCCCTGAATCGGAT